TATTTCCCTTTGATCTTCTCCTCTTTTTTCGTTCTTCATGGGTTTGTTTTGTTTAATTTCATAACTAGGATTTCTGGTTTTAAGTTTGTTAATTAGCTTCTGTGTTTAATCGTTAATGATAGTCAGTTAGTTTAGGGGTAATGTTTGAGTTTGCAATTAGATTATTAGGGTTCCAGTTTTTCTTCTAATTTGGGTTTGTTTGTGTTTAATGAAATTGAAATCAGCATGTTAGTATCATTTGATTCCCTGTTAATTGATTTATTTAATTGCTTCAAGGGTTGAAATAGGTTATTCATTGGTTGTTACTTGCTAAATGTGAGTTTCAGATTGTTCAATCGTCGGATTGTTTCTGATTTCATTTCATGTTAAACCTATTCAGGTTTTAAAAGAAAAAAAACTGGTGTCATTTGATTCAGTTTGCTTATGGTTTCTATTAAAGAATTGTTTGTTTAGTTTGTAAATATTCAGGACTTTTAGGGTGTTAAATGAACAACTAAGAACTTAAGGGGTCACAACATGGGGTGGTAATCCTGAAATAGGATAAGGTCTATGCTGGAAATGTTCTAGAATGTGGCAGCTGGCCTCATTTGGTTAGTACAAAGTACTGAAGCCAATGAGGGACAACCAACTATCCATTTCTGTTAAAAATATTCCTTTTATGGCTGAGGGAATGATTCTTTTATTCCTTCAGCACATGGCATTTCGTATGCCTATATATATTACCTTCCCTCACTCTCACAGAAAATACACACAATTCAGCATAATTTTACGGCAAAAGGCTCTATTTTCAAAGTTATCTTGGAAAAACTTCAAAAAACATTCTCATTTCGGATTCTTTACAAAATTGAAAACATGTTTTGAAAATAGGAGATTTTTCTATATCCTTTAGTTGGACTTCTTGGTTTCAAGCTATTTTTGCTTTGGATTCGATTTCTTAGGTTGATTTCTTGGGTTTGTTGCTGATGGATCTTGCTATTTTCTCAGCCAGTTTATTTCCGGAAAGCTAGTTGTTTTCTTTGTTATTTTGCTGATAAAGGTACACCTTTGGACTCACATGCTTGGTTTGGGTTCATTTAGTCTTTTCCTGTAATCTTTGTCTTGATGTTTGAATGAAAAATGCTCTTGGTTGTTAAATGTTTCCAGCTTATTGGTTCTTTGTGATTATGATTCTCTATAAAATGTGTTCAATTGTTACTCCACTAGCATGCCTAAGCATTTTACTTAGGTGAAATTCTTATCTAAAATAAGTGCTGGAATAGTTTGAGTATGAACTCCTAATTACTGAAATAGCCCCGTTTGAATTGCTCTTTTAGTTAATGTTAAAGTAACATTGATTCATGTCTTTCTTATATGTACTAATAGCTATATCGTCACTGTTTTTTTGTGTTGGTATGTGGGATGGCCATAAGGCCAAATAATATCAAGGTTAAAGTTGGAAATGTGGACTTGTGAGAGAAAGTTCCATAGCTATTCTCTTGCAAGTCAACACATTGTAGGGGAGGACCTGAAGGCTGAAGAGAAACCAGAAGTTAGAATGAGAAGTTCATTTTGATCATTTCAGCACTCTTTCAAACAGTAGTGTGATAAATTGTAGAAAATAATATTTTGTATATTCAGGACCTTCAGCAGTGTAAATGGACTTTTATAACTCTTTAAATTCAGTTTTCTTTTCTTTGGCTTGTTTAGCATTGGGTTATCACAGTTAGACCCTTTGTTTTTTTATTTTATGAACATGTATTAGGTTGGAAAATTTGGCTAGACTTGCAAACAGGCCCAAATGTGGGGTTTATTCGAGCGAGTCTAGGTGTAAGCCATTGGGCCTGAGCAGTTGGACCCAACAGCTTGACTTATCCGTAAATGCTTAAGCAAATTACAAATATATATCTGATGAATCTTGCCAATCGATGTAGTGAAATTAATTTTAGACTAGCCTTGTATTTCGATTTTTTAGAACGAGTTTGTTTCTTTTTTTTTTTTCCAGCATTTCTGACCAATGTATATAAATGCAAAGGTGGATAGGCCCAATTAGAAAACACGTAGTATTTGGGCCCGCTTGAAGCCCAGTGTGGGTAAATTTAATTAAAATCCAAACGATGTAAGCCCTCTTAGAACCCTCATGCTGCCAGACCCAATTTCGGAGCCTAAACTAGTTCTCCAAGGCTAACGTTTTCCGGGCCTAATCAAATGCTAGGAGCCTTGGCCCAAAGCAGTCTCCAACCGAAATTTAAGGGTTTGAGGCTAAGAAAAGTTTAGTTTGAACCTTAATTAGGATCCTAGCCTTATTTAAATAATTCCCTTTAGTTAAAATCAAAGTAAGGTGTGTCATAAAACCCCTTAACTCATTGCCCTCATGAAATTAATTCAAACCTTGTAAAAATTGAGGTGTGCCATCAATTAAACTTTCCATGGCCCTCATAAATGTTGTTAAACCTTTAGGCGCGTTCTTTAATTAATTCAATCATAGCTACGGGTACGGTTCTGTGACGTAGTTGTAATTTTTAATTACTAAATTCGGGTGTACATTTCATGTGACCTGATTTCATTCTCTCAAACAATGTTAAATAGAACGTGTTGCAAACCACGGATGTATTTCATGTAGCGTGGTTTAATACGTGTTTTAAATAGCATTGAATCCTCCTAAAAGTGGTTTAAAATAATTACAAGCGGATAATAAAGCTAAAAATGCACAATAGGTTTAAAACATGTAGTATATCAGATAATAGGTCAATATTAATAGTTTAAGTGACTGTGATAGAACCACGGAACTCGGGAATGCCTAACACCTTGTCCCGGGTTAACATAATTTCTTACTTAGAATTTCTGGTTTCGCAGACTTTTAAATACAGTTAAAATTTCCTCGATTTGGGATTTTAAAATAAATCGGTGACATGGGACACCAAATAAACTATTCCAAGTGGCGACTCTGAAAATAAATAAAATAATCCCATATCGAATAATGTCACTTTAATTGAAAAAACTCACTTATATATCCCCCAGTGTGTAAAAAGGAGGCATGAAAGCTGTGGTGACTCCGCTGGGGATGATAACCCAGAACTTTCGGTTCAGGGTTCAAGAATTCGAGCTTAGAATAACTGTTATACGTGGCTTTATTTATTATCTATTTGTACATGTTTGAGCCTAATGTGCTAAATACCACTTTTTACCGCTTTGATATTGTTTGAACTGTATATAAATTGTTACGAAACCCTCTTCTCTCTGAGTTTTCTAAATCATCTGGGAAGTGTGCACTTCGTGTGACTTTTTTTTTGTTAGAGTCATATACCAATTTTAGAACGAGGTTCGGACAAGTTGCAAAGCCCGTGAAGCTTCTGTATTCCCGGTACGCTGCACCCCTCGGCTCGAGTTGTCCGCTCGGGTAAGCCAGGTCTAGAACACAACCCCAGGTTTAAACTTAGAATAACATAACCTCATGTCGGATCCCTAGTAGGAACGTTTGTTTGCATCACGTGCATTTGACCTTAGGGACTCAACATAGGGGTTGGGTCCGTCTAGGATAGGTGTACCCAAAAATTAAAAGACCATCCTGATGCATCTTACGTGCTATTAGCGCATTTATTTGATTCGCCTTGCATGGTGACCGGGTTCTAGAATAGGGAAAGAAAATAAAAAAAAAGAAAAAAAAGAAAAAAGAAAAAAGAAAAAGAAAACTAGTGTGAGCTAGGAAAGAGAAAATTCACTAGGTTCTAAAAAACTCAAGTACTTGAAAAAATCCTGAGACTCTGCTGAAATTGTGGAAAAAGAGAGAAAAAGCAAGGTCATTTCAAATTGAGCCAAAATATTCAAGTGCCATGTTTCCCCTTGTTCCGTCAAAACTGACCGAGCTACACGGGTTCGATTCTCACCGGATGTGAGATACATAGGCAAACCTCATCGGTTCCGGCCCCAATTTTTTTTTTAAAAAAAATACAAAAACAATTTCCTTTAATTTCGTCCTTAGAAGCACTTCCTTAGAAGATTCAAAAAAAATATTTTAAACTTAGAAAAGTAGTTTCCTTCTTTCTGAAGTCTTTCATATGGAAACAAATAATAAAATAAAAAAAATCAATCAAAAATCAAAATCCAAAATAAGGGTTTCCTTTATTTTGAAGTATTTTTCTCAAAAATTAAAAAAAATAAATTAAAAAAAAATCTTTTCCTTGTTTAAAAGTCTCTCTTCCAAAAAAAAATATTTAAAAATTTGAAGTCCAAAAATATTTTCGCTTTTCTTTAGAAGTGCTTTTGTAAATAAATAAAAAACTCAGAAATCTAAAATATTTTTTTTAAAATCTCTCTTTCGAAAATTAAGAGGCAACATCCAAAATCCAAAAAAATATTTTTTTTCTTCTTTATAAAAAGAGAAAACAATTGAAAATTCAAACAAAAACATTTTTCTTTTACTTTTAAAATTCCCAAAGTTCAAATCAAAAGTAAATGAATTTTTAGAAGTCTTTCTTTCAAAAACAAAACAAAAATAATAAAAAAAAAATATTTCCTTTCTTCTTTTAAAGCATTTCTTTTAAAAATTCAAAAAATATATATGTTTTCCTTTTTCTTAAAGTTTTCATGGAGTTTGAACAATTTCTCTCTCTCTCTCTCAAACTATGAACATACTACTCTCCGAACACGTTGTACCACCAGACATCAGCACTATGCAAATTGATGAAGCACAATCCCATCCAACTTCAAGCACCTTCCGTCAGAAGCTCCTCTCAAATTCCCCAGATGTAGTCAATTGCCATACCAACTTTCCCCATAAACAACCTTTGGACCTCAGTGATGAAATAACCACTGCGGTCAATCCTGATGATTTCATCCCACTATACTCCACAGATAAGAGTCGACTATACCTACCCTGGAAACATTCGATTATAGTTAAACTTTTTGATCGAAAAATAGGTCATCAAATCCATAAACAAAAGTTTACTGCTATGTGGAAGCCTACTGAAGATTTACCTCTCATTTATTTGGGCCATGATTTCTTTTTAATTAAATTCCAAAAGGAAGAAAACATGCTGCATGCCCTTCATGAGGGACCTTGGTTTGTATTCAATCACTTTTTCTCAGTGCGACGTTGGGAGCCCAAGTTCATTGCCTCCTCTGCAACTCACATATTATGCGATTTGGATCCGCCTTCCCGAACTTCCAACTGAATTCTATGATTTGAAAATTCTCCAAAGGATTGGAACTAAAGTGGGTAAACTCCTAAACGTAGATTCTTGCACTTCCTCCACAACAAGAGGACGTTATGCTCATGTGTGCATAGAGGTACCACTGGAAAAAAAACTCTTAAATCACATATTCTTATTGGCACCCATAAACAATCTATTTTGTATAAGGGAATTAATCTTCTTTGCAAAACTTGCGGAAAACTTGGACAAAATCCACAACTGTGTCCCTCCCAAACTACTTCAAGCACACAATTACAACACCCTTCTCCTAATAAAAGTACTATACCTACCAGTATAATCTCCACCACTCCAACACAACCTCTACAGTCCAGTGAGCAGGAATGGAAAACAGTTGTTTTCCCTTCACAGCAGTCTCGCAAAGGCAAAGGTAAGCCAGCCGCCATTGAAAGGCCCATAGGTAAGTTTTCTAACTCTCAATCATCAATTCCTAATTATCTTTCTAATACAAAACTTAACCCTGCTAATTGTTTAGCCAATGATATTGAAGAACTCGTGGACCCCACCACCTCCACATCACACACAACTAAGCAGTCTCCAACACCTATGCCGACTATGACAGTGCCTAACACACAAAATTGCCACGATGTTCTGCAATATTCCACCGCCCATGTCCATTAACCCTCCCTTTCCACGTATAACTCTACTCATGCCACATCCATAGTGGATCAAATCAAATCCTTTTTCCCCATTCAAGAAATAGACAGTGCAAGCCCAGCCACTTCTTCAGCAGCCAACACTAACCCAAGAGGCTCTCAAATACCACCCCTATTTCCTGAAACAATTGATGAAGCCCATATACCAAGTTCCCAAAATAATCATCATATTCCCTCACACTCCAATGTCTGATATCCCAAATATGCCATCATCGCCTACCACACTAATTCTTTCCACCCAAACTAAACTACAACATACGCTATTGCCTTTAGAAGATTTCCAACTTCATTCACAATCAACTATATCTAATGTTCCTTCACCATCACAACTGTCCATACCCAGGAATTCACCTACACCACACTCCTCCTCCACCACACCATCTTCTACCACCTATTCTCTTCACCATGCAGAATCCACAACTCCCTCTCTAGTGTCATCGAATCTACAACACATCGACCCCCAACCACTTGCACCAGCATAGTCTTGGCTCGAGATGGGACTACTGGGTCATCCACTGACCTTAGTGCTGGAGATAAACAACCAGGAAGTCCTAATCATGATACAAAACCCCATGGACACTGCTCATATCCTGACGAAGGGGATGACGCTAGATTGGGAAACCTATGCTCAGTACCAATCTTTTATGCACCAACCTCTGATGTTCAATCCCTACAAACCCATCTCACCATCTAAGACTCACTAATACACACGTGGGAGATGCCGTTTTACACGCTGCTATTCCCGAAGAACCCTTCTGTTCCCTGGATACACCAACACATCACTCAACATTCTCACATGCAGACTTCCCCTACACACACCACCCTTCCACCACCCCCCACCAGCTATTGGACCTACACCTTCCCCAACACAATCTAATAGTACAAGAGGCCATGGCCCAACAAGAAATATCGTCTCTAGCCGCCAAAATGCGGGAAACTCGCACAGAATTGATCGATCTCGATGGAATATATCTCTTAATCCTAAAGGAGCAGTATAAAAAAATTGTATCTATGATGTCCACCAAATCTCAAAAACTGCCTCATCAAACTCCGCCCCACGGTCAACCTCGACATAGGCAAGTTCGCACTAGTTCTCATACCCACCCTGCGCCCATCGGAGTAGAGGAATGTGGAGAATCCATCAGCGAACCTCCAGGTTCCAGTATCACCCCCTACCCTCCAATAACCTAAATATAAGAATTCATTATATGGAACTGTAGGGGTGCTCAATTGCCAGACGTTCATAGAAATTTCCGCTCTTTGTAGGACTTTCACCACCCTACGTTGGTTGTTCTGTTGTAAACTCACCTAATGGATCACCAACCTTTACGTGATGATTTTACTTTTACTAGTATGGCTTCCGTAGCGGCTGAAGGCCATTCAAGTGGCATTGTCGTCCTCTGGGATGAAAATATTCTTCTTGTAGAGGAGATAGCTATTACTAACCAAGAGGTTCACTGCATGGTGGAGGTATTATATCTAACTCGAAAGTTTTTATTCTCTTCAATTTACGCAAGTCCTACTTTAGCTCATAGACAAATTCTCTGGCAAAATCTTAAGTGCATATCGGACAACTATCATGGTCCTTGGTTGGTGGGAGGTGATTTTAATGAAGTTACACGTGCTTCCGAAAAATTTGGGGGACGTCATTTAAACAATAAACATGTTGATCAATTTTTAAATTGCCTCAATTATTGCAATTTAGTTGACCTTGGGTTCAAAGGTAGCCGTTTCACTTGGTCAAATAATAGAAGTAATTCTGCCACTATTTTAGAACGATTAGACATGGTAGTAGCTAATTATGGATGGATTAATTTATTTCCTAATACTCTTGTTCGCCATCTACCTCGTAGCCACTCTGATCATTGCCCATTACTTCTTACTCCGCCAACTGCAATTACGAATAAACCTTTCCATTTTGAATCTATTTGGACATCTCACCCAGGATTCCATCATCCGTTCTCGCATGTTTGGCATGATAATAATGATTCTCTTCTTCCAGCCATAACAAATTTCCAAACTGAGGTTCATGACTGGAATAAAAATACCTTTGGAAACATCTTTGAAAAAAAATGTATTTTACTTGCTAGGTTAAGTGGCCTCCAGAAGTCTCCACACTATCCTACCAGCAATTTTCTTCACCATCTAGAAGCTGACTTAATTTGCGAATTTAATAATTTATTAAAATTAGAAGAGTATTTCTGGACACTAAAGTCTCGTATCCAATGGTTAAACAATGGAGATGCAAATACCAGGTTCTTCCACCTTACCACTCTGCAACGTCGTAAGCGTAATCGTATCACAACATTGTGAGACACAGCTGGAAATTGGACTTTTGATAATGTTGTTATAAAAGATTTAATCTACTGTCATTTTGAAAAACTCTTCACTACGGAACATGACTATTCCACACCTCACTTATTTCCTAACTCCCACAACTCATTGTCCTCTATGGATTCCCAACATCTTGTTCGTCCACTTCTGCATACAGAAGTGTTACAAGCCATTAATTCCTTCAAACCATTTAAATCACCGGGTCCAGTTGGGCTTCACCCATATTTTTACCAATAGTACTAGAATGAAATTCATACTTTCGTTCTTAACTTTTGTAATCAAGTTTTTACCATGTATCAGATTCCTCCGCAAATTTGCTCTACCTATATTTGCCTCATTCCTAAAAACCAAACTGCAAATTCTCTCAACTATTTTAGACCTATTAGCTTATGTAACACTACTTATAAAATCATTACAAAAATTCTTGTTGGTCTTATTAAGCCTTTCATTCAACAATTAGTAGGACCTACCTAGTCCAGTTTCCTTCAAAACCGTCGTGCAGCGGACAATGCTATTATAGTACAAGAAATCCTCTATCACTTTAAGAGAACCAAGGGGAAGAAAGGGCTTATGTTACTTAAACTTGATCTAGAAAAAGCGTTTGATCGTATTGAATGGTCCTTCATCCATAAAGCTCTAAACTTTTTCAATTTCCCAAAGCTTTTAATCAAGCTTATGTCGTGTGTTACTTCATCCACTATCTCTATACTCATTAATGGATCTCCTACCACCTATTTTTCTCCCACAAGAGGAATACGACAAGGTGATCCTTTATCCCCATATTTATTCATACTATGTTTAGAGATGTTTTCTAGAAGTATAAATGTAGTTGTGGATTATAACTCATCGGAACCCATCCAAATCTCCACCTTAGGTCCTCAAATCTAGCACCTCTTTTTTGCCGATGATATCATTCTCCCTGCCCAAATCTCTCGCTAATCTTGCCATACAATCATTGATCACCTCAATATGTTCACCAAAGTTTCAGGTCAAAAGCTAAACTTTGATAAGTCCCGAATCTTTTTTTCCAATAATTGCCCACACGAGGATAAGCAGTATGTCCTCTCTTCATTCAATATGTCAGAAGGCACTTCCTTTGGGAAATATTTGGGTTTCCCTATCTTCTTGAAGCACCCTACTATGCGTGATTATCAATTTATTCTAAATAATTTTAAAGCGCGTTTGGCAGGATGGAAAACTGCTTTTATGACCAAGGCGGGCAGGACAACCCTCATACGATCAACCCTTAATACCCTCCCTAATCATGTAATGCAACTTCTCACTCTTCCTTCAAATATTATCCGTAGAATGGAGCAATATGAATGCAACTTCCTGTGGGGTTCAACTACCAATCATAAGAAAATTCACTTAATTAAATGGGACAATGTTACCACCCCAAAGGATGAAGGAGGACTAGGCATACAAAATCTTTCTACAACGAATTGTGCACTTCAATCTAGTATGGCCTAGAGACTTTTTAAATCTCCAAAATCCCTCTAGGCCTCTCTTCTTATCAATAAGTATGCAAATTCTCAAAAACATGTTTCTAAACCTTCTAGAATTTGGAGGTTCATCCAAAATGGATGGCAACATTGCCAACAAGGCATCCAATGGCAACCTGCATATGGCTTCCATATCCTATTTTGGACTGAACCTTGGCTCCAAGCAAATCTAACACTAAGATCCCTTATTCATGGACCATTAATAGAATTTGAAACTGCTGCCACTATAGCTTCCTATTGTACCCACTCTTGTTGGGACTTTTCTCCTTTATCTTTCGTGCTGCCTGCTACATTATATCATCGTATATATAGAACTCACTTCCCTACAATTCCATCATCTTATGATCGTATAATTTGGGGCCTTAACAATACTGGCCTATTCTCAGTCAAATCTAGCTATGCATCCCTCTTGAATAACACTACTACTCACCTTTTTCGCTGGATTTGGCGACTGAAATTACCTCCTAAGATAATCCGCTTTATTTGGTTATTTTGTCACAAACGCTTGACTACTGCTTCCTACCTTGCTCACCTAAAATTACTTTCGTCTTCCATCTGTAATATTTGTAACAGAGAGGTAGAAACGATCCACCATATTTTCTTTGCTTGTGCTTTCGTTGCATCCTTTTGGAATTCACTAGGTCTCCATCAAGGAGCTCTTATACTGCCAGATGTCACTGTACATCCCCTGATATATCTTAAGGAGCTCATTCACCAAAGTCATACTTAGTACCCCAAACAACTCCCTCCTGCGCTCTTTATACCATTCTCCTTATGGCATATTTGGAATATTCGAAACCATAACACGTTTGGCGACACTCAACACTCTATCAGTACTTCCTGTATAATCAATCAAGCTACTGACTATCTTCACCCTGCCCTACCTCTACGATATATACCTACCTTAACACCCATACATGTTTGGTGGGCACCCCCAATCAGAATTTCTATAAACTCAATTCAGATGGTGTTGTGTGCACTATGACTGGTGCCGCAGGTTATGGAGAAGTCATTCGTGATTCTAATGGAAACTAGATTGTTGGATACACCTGTAGTTCTACGCACACAACCAGTTTACACATGGAGCTAATGGGCCTTCTACAGGGTCTTCGTTTAGCACACCAGTGCCAACTCACACCCTTAGAAGTAACTATCGATGCAAAAGAGGTAATACATTTACTAAAGGTAGGTAACTTATTATACTCACATATTTTTCATGATTGCAGATTCGTTCTCCACCAATTGGATGATCCTCCTATTACTCATACATATCGGGAGCAAAACCAAGTAGCGGATGCTATGGCAAATCATGGTCTTATGGAATACCGTGGTCCATCAATGCTTATTTTTGAAGACGCTCCATTTTTTGTGTTGAAGCTACTTCTCGATGATAAGCACGGCTCAACCTATCGGCATCTATTTAATGCAAAACATTAGGCCAACCAAATGATCACAACTCTTTTTTGTTAAACTCTCATGTATCACGTTGTACCCAGAATAGCCATTTGGCAGTAGATTCCCACTTAGATCCACCAAGGTGTGGCAATGCTTTTTTGTTTTATGTAGAAGAATAGCCACCCTAGTTGTTCCTACTATGTACTTAAGTTTTGTTATATAATATTAATCTTTCAAGACCCAAAAAAAAGCTTTCATAGCCTGAGTTTTATAAAAGTAAAAAAAGAGTTAGTTTATTTACTCCATTCCCAATCTTCCCGAACTACCCAAGATCTGATTCATGCGGCGTCATGATACGTAGGCAATCACCATCGTATTCGATCATAGCCATAACATTAATTGAGTGAAAAATAAACTGAAAAAAAGTTGAGTAGAAAAGAAAGAAAAGAGTGAAAAAAAGACAAAAGAGTGACATAAAATAAAAGAGTGAAAAAAAGAGAGTGCCAAAATAGAAGAGCGGCAAAAACGAGATGAAAAAAATCAAGAGTAATTAAAGAGAGGCGGAAACAAAAGAAAAGAGGTACATACTGAAAGAATTAGTTAAGGCCGGGATGAAACATGCAACCGTTCAAACATATGGTAGAAGCGTTTAACTGTTAGGTGCATTGCATCCCAACGTGCGATTTCCTATATGTTAAATGTCTCAAAACTAACAAGGTTGTTGGGTGTGAAAATTAGCCAGGTTCTGTTCAGGTGGTTGGTTTTGTTAGTAATCTGGTTTCCCATCCCTACTTCACAACAAACGAAAGGTTCCTATGGCCTCTGAAAGCCATCTACAAATTATCGATCCTGAGGATAGTCCAGCACTAGCTATTCCACAACCAGAATTAGCAGCTATTGAAGAGAATAGGATGTTGCATCTCCACATATTGGAAATATGGGACGCCTGGTGTAACAGTAGGGAACCTCCAAGTGCAATCCCTGGGTTCCCTGAGTTGATCCCCAGGTCAGGTGAGGTTACCAACGCCCCTGTGTCCAACTCACTCATCCCATGCAGGCACCCTCCAATGTTGTCCAATGTTCCTGGCATGCCTTATGTGGTTCACCCCCAAGCACCGGCTTCAAGGGCACCGCCTCCAATGTTCATCTTTTGGGGTCCACAGCTTCAACCAGAAATAACATATGTGGCCCTGTACTATTTCACTCAACCTCTGCAATATGATCTCTCGATGGAGCAAGAAAAGGTTGTTAAAAATTCCGAGCAAGAGGAAATGGCTCGAAAGATGAAGAGACTGGAACAAAGACTGAAAAACATGCAAGGTCTGAGTGGTCAAAGGAGTGTCTCATACTTTGACATTTGTATGTTTCCCCATGTCCACTTGCCAGCTGGCTTCAAGATGCCAAAATTTGAAAAGTACGACGGGCACGGAGACCTGGTCGCTCATCCGAAACGATACTGTAACCAGCTAAGGGGTGCTGGTGGAAAAGAGGAGCTGGTAATGGCCTATTTTGGGGAAAGCCTCACCCGAATCGCTTCTGAGGGGAATACGGATCAAGAAATTACCCATTGGCACGTGTGGGATGATATGGCTCAAGATTTTGTCCGCCAGTTCCAATATAATGTGGACATCGCTCCTAACAGAAACTCTTTGTCTAATTTGAAAAAGAAAACTGCGGAAGGCTTCCCCGAATATGCCATCAAATGGCGTGAGCAAGCTGCCAGGGTAAAGCCACTAATGGACGAAATTGAAATGGTTACGGTCTTTCTGCAGGCCTAAGAGGCTAACTACTTTCACAACATGATGTCTACTGTGGGTAAGCTGTTCGCTGAGGCTATCAAAATTGGGGAAATGGTTGAAAACGGTTTAAAAACAGGTCGAATCTTGAGTCATTATGCTTTTAAGGCCACATCATAGTCTGCTCAGAATGGTTAGGAGGGTTTGATGAACAGAAATGGGGTTGAAGAGGGAGCCATGATGGTTTCAAGCTCGAGGGGGGCCCACAGGTCATTCAGCCAATCATATGTGCCTCTTATGGTCCCACCACACTATTATCTCCTTCAAGATGTTGCTTATGCTGTGGCACCACCTCCTTATATGGTAATGAACACGCAACCTTACACGCGCCCACAACATTATACACAAAACTGAGCTCCACCTCCCAAAAATGTCCATTCTTACTAAGCTCCATATAATTCTAGACCAAATGATCCCCAGTACAATCCTCGCCCAAGAGAGCCTTTTAGAAATAATCAGTTCACCCCTATTGGTGAATCGTATTCAAGATTGTTCCAAAAGCTAATCAGGCTAGATCTATTGCAGCCAGTGGCCCTGAACCAGCCAAAATCCCCCTCGGACCAAGCTGATGCTAGATGTGAATACCACTCTGGAGCAGTGGGACACAGTACAAAGGACTGTTGGACCCTCAAAAGGCCAGTTGAAGATTTGATTGAAGCTGAAAGAATTAGTTTTCAGGATGATGAAGCTCTTGATATGATGAGCAATCTATTGCCTGCCTATAATATCGGGCCAATAATCGGAATGATTTGTAAAGCTGAGGAATTTGATCCGGCACTGAAGGTCATTGCATCCATTTCCGAAACAAAAGAAAAGCCAAAAAACAGTCGCCAAGCCTAAAAATTCCCCATCAGATGGGAGTCTCGGTAGCCAATCTTGCTATCCTTTCTGCGTCCAGATTATCTCAGGATGTGATCCGGATGTTTTACTTTATTGTCTTACTTTTCGATGTATACCCTTCTATATTCAAAAAATTGAAAAACAAAAAAAGATAAAATAAAATAAAAAATCAAATGAAATTAATATTTCATTGTCCAGGAATGTCTCTTTTCTTAATCTTGTCATTATTGTTATTCTCTTTTAGTTTTGTTAAATGCAGATTTCAATAACATGACATGTTTGCGGACTTCATGCCCGGATCCTAAAATACTGTCAAACTTCGAAATAATGAATCAAGAATTATATTACAATGAAGATAAGTTTAAGGAAATAAAACAAAGAGTTGGAACAGCTAATGGAAAATTGGCTCCATATTGGAAAGATCCATACATGTTAACAAGGGTACTGCCAAAGAGAGCGTTGTACTTGGGAAACATTGAAGGAAATGTCCCAGAAACAATTGTCAATGAAAATGCTGTCAAAAGGTACTATGTTTGATCCTCCATATAGTCTTCATATTCTCTGGTTGAGATGACGAAGGCTTTCATTCTTGCTACCCAAACACTATTAACCCTTTTGTAAACCCTTTGAGCTGGTTACTTTTCTTTGATTACCCTCTCTGGAACCTGAAAATTAATATTGAAAAAATGATGAATGAAAAATATTAAAAAAGAGAAGAAAAAGAAAAATACAAAAAGAAAAATAAGAAAAGGGAAAAATGAAAATAAAATGAAAAAAGAGGAAAGGAAAAAGAAAAAGAAAACAAAACAAAACAGAAAAAATAAAAGAAAATCAAAAACAAAGTTGTCTGAACTACGTTCGATTTGATTCCGAAAGGATACGTAGGCAGCTCCTCTCTGGGGTTCAGTCACACCAAAACAAAAATCCAAATTTTCCCAAAAATGAAACTGGGGAAGATGTTATGATGGTTGGGCAATGATCCCGCCTGAATGGTTCCAAAGTTGTAATTCAATCCAAATTCTTTTTACCCCAAATCCTGTTCAACTCCTTCTGATCAATTGGTGAGAATGTTCAAGAATCGGAGAAGGCGTCTGCTTGGAACTGATGCAACAAGATGAGAGAAATAAAATGAGAGAGTCTTATTGGTGAAAACCGACACGGGCACTGTAAGGCGATGGTGAATAGAGAAACTGAAAATGAGAGTCTTATTAGTGAAAAATCGCAAAGAGAACTATAAGACGATAGTAAGAAGAGAAATGAGAGAGGTCAATTGGCGAAAACCCGCAAAGGGCACCGTTGATCAAGCAGAAGGAATCCCTTACAACCATTGGCACTACAAGAGTCCTGGCAAGGTTTTTCGGTTTTGAGATATGGATTATGAAGGGTTTTTGCGAGATTGGGTGTCTGCGCAAATCGGGTATCCAGTCCAAGAAGCATGTCATGTATATTGAAGTCTGCATGCACCCCAGATAAGTCCTTCTTTCTTTCCCCCCAAAAGGGATGCTTCTCGTTAAATTCATTGTCCTATCTTTTGTTTACCTTTCTTTGAGTCCCTTTCGGTCTAATTCCTCTTCGAAACTGATACAAAGAAAAAATGGAAAGATTGGTTTTATAGGGTTCTACTTACCAAAAGCCAAATCCTAAGAAAAGCGCCCAGCCTCAGCAGGTGCATCAAGTCGATCTCGACTGGCCATGATGACCGATGCTCCAGGTCCAAATTTATTGAAAAGGAAAGAAATTCAAAGTCAAGTTCCCATAAAGGTAGAATAAGGTGAAAAGTCCAAATCCCCACACGGGTGAACTATCATGTAAAATTTTGTAAAGTCAAGGTCCCCAGTTTTAGAAGAGAAATCGGTCTCTAGAAAGCCAGCAAGCAATAAAGGATTTCAGCAAATGAGTTGGGCCGAGATCAAGTGATCAAAACAATCAAGGCCACAAAACCAACCACCGTTTCAAACTAACAAATTATTCTTTTATTTGAAAATTAGGTGCAATCTAAGATAACCTCGCAAGGAGCAGGTACAATAAAAGCAAGGTGCGCAGAAACCAGAATGGTCCTGTAGAAGAAGTTAACCCAAAAAGAGAAGTCCCTTTCAAACTCTTCATACATTCTCTTGAATAAAGTATTAAAAGTGAAATGAAAACAAGAAGAAGCAAAATTCCAAAATCATGGTAGTCTAGGGTCCCCAATCTCTAGCTACGTTCTCCCAAAATAGGGTCTCATTCCCTAGTCACTCCCAGCATAACCTGGTATTCTTTTCCGTTATAGGGTTCCATTCCCTAGTTAATCTCCGGCATAACGCGATGACTTTTCCAGCATAACCCGTGGACCTCCTCGGCATAACCCAAGGACTTTTTTTCTCTACCGGCATAACCCGATGACTCCCCCGGCATAACCCGAGGACCTTTCCGGATTAACCCAATGATTTCCCCGGCATAACCCGAGGACCTTTTCTCTTTTCCGGCATAACCCGATGACTCCCCCGGCATAACCCGAGGACCTTTTCTCTTTTCCGGCATAACCCGATGACTTTCCCAGCATAACCCGTGGACCTCCCCGGCATAACTCGAGGACTTGTTTTCTTTTTCGGCATAACCCG